GTCATTTTATCCAATTATTTTATTTTTCAGGCAGCATTCATGGTTGCTGAAGAGCTAGGCCAAGGAGGAGTTATGTCAAGTGCCTATAACAAGGTTTTCAATAATCCTAAGACCATGTTTATTAAGACAACAGTCAAGGAATACTTATTTGAAGGAGTCAAGTTTTGTGTCGATCGATCAGCAATACCTAGCATCGTCTGTTCCCTGGTGGAGAAACAAGGATCTCAGACAATTCGGAAAAGTACCACGGACAGAGGACTACTTTTCTCTTTCTTTAACCATGTTAGTAATATAATATATATATAATATATATATATATATAATATAATATATATATAATAATATATATATATATAACCTGAAAAAAACTATTTATTCAGACATCCACCCAATTTAAAAAAATCGGTTAGACTTAAAAAATGATGGTATTCATACCTCAGTATTATTGTATGTAGTTCATAAACTCAGAAAATATTTGTATTTTGCGATTATAGTTTTATACTCAAAGTTTAATTATTTTTTAATTATTTAAATGTATGAGTCAAATAATAGCACGAATCGTCTCCAATATTTATTAAGTATTTTTAAACCTAACTGTTTCTTTCTCTAAATAATTGGATAGATTCCTGTATTGTTTCTATATTTTATTATATATCCTTCACCATCTGAAATAATAAATGCATATACATATTTAAATATTCATTATGGAAATTTATAATTAAATACATACATGTTTTATTAGTTAAACAATTATTTTTATAATATTTAGAAAAATACGTCCGATGATGGATTGTGGAACATATACAGTGGCAAAAAGGATATTTTAGATGTCGGTCAACTTACTTCTTGGAACAATGAGACATATATGAAACTTTGGAAAGATGGTAATTCAACATGCAATAAAGTTCAAGGCACCGACAGTACCATGTACAGACCTTATCGACATGGCAAAGAGCCGGACGATTTCATGTGGGTGTTTAATTCGGATATTTGCAGGTGAAAATCATTAAATTAAATATAAAAATATTTTTTGGAATGGATGCTCTCTCTAACCAAGTCGCAACCCGACGGTTGAATTATTTCTATTTGATAGAGATAATATATATTTCATTATTTAGCATTAGTAAACCATGGCGTATTTCCAAAAATGTGCAAATTTCTTGTAGAGATATTTCATTATTTCTTATAATATATTTATATTGACTACTTATTTATTTTATTTCTTTTCTCAATACATCAGTAATATAATTAATGTATAACTACGTATAATACAATTACATTCTTTGCACCTCATTACTTATAACATATTTATATTAATTTCTTATTGTTGTACTTTATTATTTCTTATAACATATTTCAATTATCATTGTATCAGGGTTTCGAAACCTAATATAACTCAATAAAGCCCCGTATTAATTTACTTCAATATCTTGGAAAATTCGTGCATGATGATCAGATAAATTTGATATCGATTATTAATTTATCATTTTTTGCAGGGCCGTATCAGTGCATTATAAAGAAAAGCGCGAATTCAATGGTATAGAAACATTCAGATACGAGGCCAACGATGCGTTCATGGTGAAACCTGAAAAATGTTATTGCCTCGGTAAAACAACAGGTAAATAAGGGACAATTTAATACTTTTGTATATAAGAAGGCACTAAATTTTTTTGATTATTCTAAATTTATCAACCCAAGGTTTGGCCTATCTCTACAACAAGTAATCATTTACGTTTTAATACATTTATAATATTTTATAGGTATAACAGATCCAGATACTGGTTGCTTGTATGGAGGTGCATTAGAACTCTACACATGCCAAAGTAAGTTTACAATTTTAAATATTTTTAAATTTAAAAATTGTAATTTTGTGTTAAAATTATGGCTACTAATAGTTACCTAACATCATAAATAATTTTTGTTCTATATAGAGCATATCATATTTTAACATTTTAGCATATCTATACGCATACGTTTTGTATTAAAATTAATTTACTATTAATTATTCATGATGCTAGGAATACAATTATATCCATAAATTAACAAAAATATTACAATGATGATTTTCAAACTTCTTCTTACTTAAATAAGTTTTAATTACATTATTAAAAAACAGGTTTTTACG